TATACAGCGGAGAAAAGACAGCCTCTTCAATAAGTGGTGCTGGGAAAACTGGATAGCTACATGTAAAAGAATGAAATTAGAACACTCCCTAACACCATACACAAAAATAAAGTCAAAATGGATTAAAGATCTAAATGTAAGGCCAGACACTATAAAACTCTTAGAGGAAAACATAGGCAGAACATTCTATGACATAAATCACAGCAAGATCCTTTCTGACACACCTCCTAGAGAAATGGAAATAACAAATATCAACAAATGAGACCTAATGAAACTTAAAAGCTTTTGCACAACAAAGGAAAACATAAACAAGACGAAAAGACAACCCTCAGAATGGGAGAAAATATTTGCAAATGAAGCAACTGACAAAGGATTAATCTCCAAAATTTACAAGCAGCTCATGCAGCTCAAAAAAACAAACAATCCAAAAATGGGCAGCAGACCTAAATAGACATTTCTCCCAAGAAGATATACAGACTGCCAACAGACACACATGAAAGAATCCTCAACATCGCTAATCATTAGAGAAGTGCAAATCAAAGCTACAGTCTCTCCTCACACCAGTCAGAATGTCCATCATCAAGGAATCTACGAACAATAAAAATTGGAGAGGGTGTGGAGAAAAGGCAACCCTCTTGCACTGTTGGTGGGAATGTAAATTGATACAGCCACTGTGGAGAGCAGTATGGAGGTCCCTTAGTGAAAATAGAACTACCATACGACCCAGCAATCCCACTACTGGGCATATACCCTGAGAAAACCATAATTCAAAAGGAGTCATGTACCACAATGTTCACTGCAGCTCTATTTACGATAGCCAGGACATGGAAGCAACCTAAGTGTCCATCCACAGATAAATGGATAAAGAAGATGTGGCACATATATACAATGGAATATTACTCAGCCATAGAAAGAAACGAAATTGAGTTCTTTGTAGTGAGGTGGATGGACCTACAGTCTGTCATACAGAGTGAAGTAAGTCAGAAAGAGAAAAACAAATACCGTATCGTAACACATATAATTGGAATCTAAAAAAACCAAAATGGTTCTGATGAACCTAGGGCCAGGACAGGAATAAAGATGCAGACGTAGAGAATGGATTTGAGGACACGGGGAGGCGCAAGTGTAAGCTGGGACGAAGTGAGAGAGTGGCATGGACTTATATGTACTACCAAGTGTAAAATAGATAGCTAGTGGGAAGCATTCGCATAGCACAGGGAGATCAGCTCAGTGCTTTGTGACCCCCAGAGGGGTGGGATAGGGAGGGGGGAGAGTGACGCAAGAGTATATGTATAGCTGATTCACTTTGTTATACAGCAGAAACTAACACACCATTGTAAAGCAATGATACTCCAATAAAGATGTGTAAAGAAAAAAAAAAGAAGTCCCCCGTCTGCCATAGTCTAATTAAGATACTAGTGACTTCATAATGAATAGGTGAAGTAAACATTTAGGAATTCTAATGAAATTAGAATTCTTGAGTAAATATATTTCTCTAGTATAATGTGCTGTCTTTGAAGAAAATTATTTGAAGTGGTTATAGTTTCTAAAGAATAACTCAAGAAAATGGTTTTGTTATCTCTTTTGAAATGTCAATCATTTTGTATTAGAAAATAAGAAAATGATGTCCTCTTTTGTTACAAATCTTTGTGATTAAATTATAATTAAATTTTTAGCCACGAAAAGAAAGATAATAGTTTGTGAATACTAGTTTGTTTATAGCACTAAGAAGATTGCAAGGGAAATGATTGGGCTACCTAGGACAAAGAAATGATTTTAAACATCTTTAACACTGTTTTCATAACAGTCATACCAAATAATTATTCTAGCAACAGATAATTGTTCTAATTCTGTGCAAACTACAAATTATACTTGATGTGGCCATTCTTATTTATCCACATGAACCCTGCAATGATGGTGCTGAAGAGGACTCATCTAGTGACCAAAACTGTATTTGACCCTTGAAGGAATCAAGTTCCCCGAAAATGTGCATCTGAAAGTAATGCAACACTAAAAATCTGTCTTGCAGTTTGAACTTCTGCGTCTTCGTAACAGTTTATCATGTTCATTCCGTGTTCTTATCTGCATTCCAACTTCTTCTCCTGGTATTATGTTTATTTATTGAAAAAATATTACATACAGTGGCTGCTCTATATGAGGTACCGACCCAGGCACTAGCATGAGACAAAGCCCCTGCCCCCAACGGGTTCACCTTTGAGTGGAGGTGAGACCCACACCAGTTGAACTAAGCCATAAAACAGGAGCACATGTGAACTAGTGCCACGGGAGCTATAGAGTGCTGTGGAATTTCATAGGGGGAGGGGGGATCACTGGTAACCTGCATTAAATAAAAAAATGATAACAAGAATCTTTTCAGTTGCTTTGAGTTTTTAGGGAAATCCTTCAGATTTCTGGCCTTCACCTTTCTTACTGATAAATGTTGAGTAAAAGCATAACCTGTACTCCATGACTGGTTTGAGGGAGATGACCATTCTAAAATGCTTGTGATCAAAGGTTTTGAAATTCGAGACATAATTCAGTTCAGGGAGAGGCCAGTTTTTGGCAAGAAAAGAACAATTATGTCTGCCAGTACTATCAGGGCCCTTTCTCCTCTGCAGTGTTTTAACATTTGTCTGAATTTGGGAGGGTGAATGCATAAATGAAAAATTGTTATCTTCCTTTTTATGAGCAAAAACAACTTTAGACTATTAACCGTCTGTTAGAAATGAAAGTTGGCACAGAATTTGGAATGATTATTACTAAGGGTAGACCCCCCAGTTTTGGGGTGGATTTCATTTTATTTCAAGTAACATTACTGTGAATGTAAATCTCTAGCTTTCTAACCTTGTATGCAAAATAGCAAGCTGTTAAATACAAGTTTTAGGTAGGTATGAAAAATTAACATACAGGAAATAAATTATTATTTCACTGTATGTAGCAACTACTAAGAGGAGTTCATTGAGACTTTAGAGGGAAACAATGAACATACCTCGAAATTGGAAAGTAGCCTCTGTTGGCCATTTAAAGTAAGGAAAGTTGATTTAGGTCAAAAGGAAAGGAAAATGTCCTGGGATTGAAAGTTAAGTGTTATAAGATGCCATTAAAGGGAGGTTGTAGAATCTCCTTTTCTGGAAATGTTTAAAAACAAGAGAGATCTTCATCTCTCAGAAGTGTTGGAAGTTCAGTCCTGCCTTGAGGCAGGAAGATTAACTGGATTACGCCTGTGTGGTCTCTCAAGTCTTTGGAAGAGCCCTTGAATGCAGTAAATATTTCACACTCTGTTGGCTGAAACTATTGTTTCATAGCTGTTCGTTTTAACCTTGGTTGTCATAAGACCAGAGTGAATGTTTGTATAAATAACAAAACTGAATTCGGATTTGACATTGATGATGTAAGTTGTGTGTGTACCTGAATCAGTTTTAAAAGCATCAAAGTACATGTAGTGCTGAAACTATTCAGAGCATAATTTAGTCTTTTGATGATGTGGAAAGTCCCTTCTTTCTTGCAAGTTCTCAATGACAGTAATCATTTAATAAATAATTACAAAGCAACTACTATGGACATTGCAGGATACAAATATGAATTAGGTATGGTTCCTGCTTTTAAGGATCTTTGTCTACCAGGGGAGATAAAACATAGGCACACATCATATACATGATAAGTGAGAAATAAAATAATTGAGATAGGAGTCACACCAAAAAAGAATTAAACAGTGTTGTGAGAGTTCAGAGAAGAGAAAGCAAATCCCTTTTGGTTTAACCAAGGAATACTTCCTGGAAGAAAAATATATTGAACTGGGCCTTAAGGAGTATGAAGCATTCTGAAGGGTGGAAATAAAGAAAATGACAGAGGTGGAATTGTACTTAGCAACTTCAAGGTACGGAAGGGTTTATTTGCTGGAGGACTTTTCAGAGACTTTAATATTGAGAATTGCATAGAAGATCTTAAGCAGGGTAAAATATCTACCATTTCTGGATGATGTAATCTTTATTTCATGGACTGTCTCATGAAGCTGCTGTTCCTTGGTGCGCACTTTGGGGAACGTTGCCCGACGCATTTGCTAATGATGGCTGGAACATGAGTGGTGGTCACATGCTTGGAAAACATTGATTAGATTTGTGTCCTTATGGAGGCAGCATCAGCCATTCCTAGCACATAGCAGGCATTCAGTAACTACTGCAGAGAACTAAAGCATGCAAGAGTTAATTATTGATGTTCTTTTTAAATCTTATTCAATTTTTTTTTTTTTTTTTTTTTTTTTTTTTTTGTGGAGGGGGGCCGCTCACTGTTGTGGCCTCTCCCGTTGCGGGGCACAGGCTCCGGACGCGCAGGCTCAGCGGCCATGGCTCACGGGCCCAGCCGCTCCGCGGCATGTGGGATCTTCCTGGACCGGGGCACGAACCCGTGTTCCCTGCATTGGCAGGTGGATTCTCAACCACTGCGCCACCAGGGAAGCCCCCGAATGATTGATTTATTAACAATACTTGGCCCAAGACTGGGAGTCCAAGATTTCCGGGAACGTGGGGAGTTTTGACAAAGTTTTGGCTATGCTAGAAATGGTAGCATCATGGAAAGTTAGAAGGAACTGGTTTAAATGAAAGTTGATCACTTTAGTGTTTTTTGTGAAGCCATGGAAGGTCTGGCTGGAGAGTTTCAGCAGATGCTGGAACCATAGACTTGGGAGAGAAGCCATTATTCTTTCTCACTAAATGTATCATTTAAAAAAATTTGGCTAAGATGTCTCCTTGTTTGAATTATGGATAAGTAGCAATTTCTATATGCAACTTAGTCTAATACAAGAAAATAACCATCAGTTTAGTCTGAAAGAAACTTCAGGGTTAATAAAGCATCAAACCTATGGTGTTTTTTCGCTTTTTTGTTTTTTTTTTTAATAAGACAGTAGCAGGCACCCTCATCTTCATCAGTGAATTTTTTTTCAGTCTGATTTACTCATGGAAGTTAATTAATTTTTAAGTTTAATGTTTTGTTCTTTCATTCAGGTATTTGCGTTTGATTATTGCTTTTGGTCCATGGATGAATCTAACACTACAAAATATGCTGGTAAGTTGGCTCTCTCTCTGCACTTGACGGTTGGGCCTCTGGCCTCTTCTTCCGTTATGTCTGTTTTCTTTAATTATTCTGGAGCTCTGTTTTTCCCATAAAATTCGCACTCATTCTTTCCAATTCTGGCACGTGGGCTTTGAAGTCAGTAAGATTCGGTTTTAGGATCTGGTTCAGCCATTTACTTGCTGAGAAGCCTCGGACAGGTTTTTTCCCAAACTCATTAAGCTTCAGGTTCTTTACCTGTAAGGGGGTTATGAAGTGTCCTCAGAGGTGTTCCAAGGATTAGAGATAACGAGGAACCACCTCAAGCCGTCAGTGGAAGCTGTTGTGGTTCTTACACGAAGAGGAGGTTTAATGTGCCGTGCCTTTCCTTGCCTCTAACTTTGAGGGAAGGCACTGCTCCGCTTAAGCAAGCAAAGCACAGATGCTGTTGGTTTCCAGGGCCCCCTCGCATCCTGCGTGTTCTAAAGTAGTCAGTGGTGATATGAACTAAAACTGTGCATTCCTCAGGGAAACATTGCCTCAAGGCCCCACATTTTGCTGTTGTTCCTTCCTTGAGGCATTTTATCCCTACTCCATTAAATACAGAAGACTACTAATTTTATTTGTGATCATAGGTGAATCTTCACCTTTCCTAGGAGTTAAAATTACTTTAGCTCAAGAGGGAAGCATTTGTTTTAGTGGAGGAAGTCTTTGTTCCTTCCCTTCTGACTGTGACCCCTTTTTCTTAGATATACAATCTTAATGAGTGTTTTCTCCTTATTTCTACTTATAAGAATGTCAGGTGAATGACTTTCCCATTTATGAAAGAAAGAAAGAGAGAAAGAAATATTGAAAGAAAAGGAAGGAAGGAAGGAAGGAAGGAAGGAAGAAAAACAGTGAGGGGGTGATGAAGAGGATGTAGATCTTAAAAGATTAGAGGGTAAAAGAAGTTACTTGCTTATAGGAAATTTTGTTTATTGATAGCCTTTTCCTTGCCGCATAAAGCAAATCTGTTGAGAAATTATTTGATGTATAATTTTTTCAAAAGTTAATGGCTGGAACTAGGAAAATTCCTTCCATTGCTCACATTGGGTAAATTAGGCTTTTTTCCAAACATCATTCCTGCAACTTCAGCAAATGTATTTTATTAATGTGAGTAAATAGTTCTTCATATTGGTTGTAATTAATTTGTCTTTTTATCAGTCCTTTGGGAGTCTATACAATAAATTCTACAGAGTCTAGGAGAGTCGGCCTTGACTGTTAGCACAGTATAATTTTGTGCTGGGTGTGTGCTTTTGGATTTAAATAAACAAAAGTAAAACACTTCATACTGTGACAGAACCAGATGAGGACAAATGCCATGGCTATACAAAGTCCAATCTCTCACTCTGTTCAGTTGATATTATTCAGGATATAGTCAGATACAGCTCCCTGTATCTGTACAACTCTTACGCAATTGTCAAATACTTCAGAGGACTCCTCATCCCTTATAGATCAAAATCTGTACTCTTTGGATGACATTTAAGATCCTTTATTTTATAACCCCGTCTACCTTCCCCACCCTCGGCTCCCTGACTCCCCACCACCCGTTCTATGCTCCAGCCCAGTGTTTCTTCCTATTTAACCTAGGAAGCCAGAAAGTCTCAGAATAGTTCCTTAAGTATTCATGAAACTTCTACTATGTGTGCAGCCTAGGAAGCCCTTGAGAAATTATAACCTAAGTTGGAAAGCAGAAGAATGCATGACAAACAACAGTAAACATTTTGAGATAGTATTTAAACTCTAAATTTTACAGGTTTTAAGTACTATAGAAAACCCAAGGAGAGGCAAAATGTGGAAAGACTGAAGTTGCCTGGGAAGTCCCATCATAGAGGAGATAGGACTGAAACTGGACATAAAAGTTTAGCATAGATTTAGCCACGGGGCAGTATGGAGGGCATCCAGACGAGAGGAAGCAATACAGTGTCAAGGAAAGCACACGGACTCTGAACTCCACCCTGGGTTTAAGTCTCAGGAAGCTTGCTTTGGTTCTCTTAGACAATTTAATCTCTCTGAGTTACAGTTTCTTTTCTGTAAAATGGGAAACATGGCAGTGATAATACCTATCTTACATGTTGTTATAAGGGTTCAGTAGGTAACTTAATGAGCTGACCAGTGGAAGGTGCCCATAAATGATACTTTGTTTGGCTTTTCTGTAAGTGAGAATAAAGAAGGGGGAGTGAGCATGGTGTATAACACTGGCCTGAGCAAAAGATGCATTTTGGGGGGGGGAATCAGTGGGAGACCTACTTGTACATGTTAAGTGAGGCCAGATAATAAGAAAGTTTAAAAGCTAGACTAAGAAATGTAGATGATATGGTGAAAAATAGGGGAGGGGCTGTTGGAGTAATGGGGTTAAAATAATGCTTCAGGAAGATTGTTTTTCTCTTTCTTTTCCGTATCTCTACAATCACATCCTCCATTACTGCCCATAGAGACCATTCTAGCTTTCTGCAGTGTATCACTCATACCTCTGAATGTAGGACAAACTTTTTTTTTTAACTAGAGATAATTTTATTAAGTACAGATGATAAAATTAAATGTGAAACTCAAGATTTCTGTAGCTCTTCATTACAAACAGTATGTGCCGTAGTATTTTAAAAGATAAAAATGATTTTTAAACATTTTGATAGCTTAAACTTTACTAAATTTTAGCTTGCATGATCACATCTAATACCATGTTTCTGGTATTAACCCTGAAATAGGATTCTCTTGGTCGGTGGAGCAGAGTCTATTTACAAAATGTGAGGAGACAGTTTCTTACTCTTTAGGTATCCCCATTATTGTACAGATTCTGTGACCACCTCAGCAAAAAGTAAAATTCTTGCTTACTATTCTTTCAGGGTTTTTTGCACTCGTAAATAATTTGCCTAGTGAATATATTACTAGTAGATTAGTCAATTGGTTTCTATACTAATATGATTTCCTTTCTCTTTTTTTAAATTTAAATTTTATTTTATATTGGAGTATAGTTTGATTTCCCTTCTCTTTTTTTTTTTTTTTTTTTTTTGCGGTCCGGGGGCCTCTCACTGCCGTGGCCTCCCCCGCCGCGGAGCACAGGCTCCGGACGCGCAGGCCCAGCAGCCATGGCCCACGGGCCCAGCCGCTCCGCGGCACGCGGGATCCTCCCGGACCGGGGCACGACCCCGCGCCCCCCGCATCGGCAGGCGGACTCCCAACCACTGCGCCACCAGGGAAGCCCTCCCTTCTCTTTAATTAAAAAAAAAAAGCAATTCCTTCTTAATTGTGAATAGAAACATGAAGATAGAAGCATTCATTCTCTGATGGGACATAGAAGAAACGGAGAAGGGGAAGCACATAGTTCCTGAAACTGACCTATTTGTCAGACTCCATGAATAATGGCATCATTGATACTGAATCACAGCTCTTGAGGCAGCTCTCAAAACTTGGGGGGCAGAGAGGAGGAGGGAGAGGGGAGAGAGACAGATGAGCGCATGGATTGAAAGAGCAAAGAGAGGCTCTCAGTTTCATGGGGTGTGTCAAATGTTAAATTCTCAATTATGTTTTATGTTACTCTACTCATTAAAAGCTATAGCAAGCAAGAGCGTCCACTCTCAGACTGATTTAGAAACCCATAATTCTATAGTAGGTATAATGGCACTGCATTGGGTTGGGTGGAGTGGTGGAAGCATGTGGACTTTTAAATCGAACTGCCTGGGTTCCAGTGCTGCCTCCCCCACCTTTTATCTATGTAAGGTCGGGTGAGTTTTGTTTCCTCTTAGGTTAAATAAGGCTGATGATAGTTCTGATCTCATAGGGTTGATTTGAGGACTAAATGACCTATTCATGTAAAGTACTTAAACCACAGGAAATGCTCACTTAATATTTATCATCAGGGCTTCCCTGGTAGCGCAGTGGTTGAGAATCCGCCTGCCAATGCATGGGACATGGGTTCAAGCCCTGGTCCGGGAAGATCCCACATGCCGTGGAGCAACTAAGCCCCTGCGCCACAACTACTGAGCCTGCGCTCTAGAGCCCGGGAGCCACAACTACTGAGCGCGCGTGCCACAGCTACTGAGCCTGCACTCTAGAGCCCGTGCTCCGCAGCAAGAGAAGCCACTGCAATGAGAAGCCCACGCCCCGCAGTGATGGGTAGCCCCTGCTCGCCGCAACTAGAGAAAGCCCGCACGCAGCAACAAAGACCCAAAGCAGCCAAAAATAAATAAATTTAAGAAATATTTATCATCATCTTTATCACTGTCACGTTGTAGCAGTAGTAAGGATAGTAGCATCAGTCCTTTGGAGAGAAAAATGCATTGTGTGTGCTGGTATTTATGAGACCTGGTTTTGCCACAGACTGCTAAACTTTGCGGATGTCTGTTTCTTCATCTGTGGAAGGAGGATATATAGCCTAGAATGATCTCAGATCTCTTCCAGCTCTCAGATTAAACATGAATCAGACATTTTATGCTGGCCACACAGCTGTTGCAGTGGACTTTTCAGAGTCAGATCAAAGGCTTGTTTGTTAAGCCATTTGAATTGCTTTGAATCATGCTTTGAGACATTTCACAATTTAAATATATTATCTCTTATTACCACCTTTTGGTTAGCGAGTCTGCGCATAATTCTGAATATTTAAGCAAAAACCCTTGTGCCAGGGCTAAGAAAAAGCAGAAGTAACCTGCAAAATTAGGCGCCCACAGCATGGGATTTCTACATAAATCTGTTGCCTCTCCCCAAGCCCATATACACATAAACATAGATCAGGGGCTTCCCTGGTGGCGCAGTGGTTGAGAGTCCGCCTGCCGATGCGGGGGACATGGGTTCGTGCCCCGGTCCAGGAGGATCCCACATGCCGCGGAGCGGCTGGGCCCGTGAGCCATGGCCGCTGAGCCTGCGTGTCCGGAGCCTGTGCTCTGCGCGTCCGGAGCCTGTGCTCTGCAATGGGAGAGGCCACGACAGTGAGAGGCCACCAAAAAAAAAAAAACCCATAGATCAACATTTAGGATTATAAT